AGTTTCGCTCGTAATTTTTTTCTCTATCTGCCGCTATTTATTTTTGCAAATGTCTGTCTGCAAGTTTTTTTTCTCTGCTGTGAAACGCCCCAAACCGAAATAAAGTCGCTGAAACCAAAGTGGTAAGCGAGGTGCTCTCGAAAGATTTGTGAATGCTATAAAGTTACCCAAATATGCGAGAGTATTCAAAGAATGCTAAAGCTGAAAATTAAAAGGATTTCATATGATATATAAATATTGAATATAAGCATTTCCCGCCCTACCTTGAAAAGTCCTCATTACTAACATTTTTGCAGCCAAATTTTTGTTACAAGTCACATCACAATAATATTTTCTTCCACTGCGACGAGTTTTTATATATTTTTAAAGTTCTTTTAAAATTTTGCACTTTTTGTAAAATAATTTTTTTTTTGTGCGATTTTTTCTTACTTTTTATTTGACACATGCCCACAACTTGTGGCACAACCCTCTAATATTTCTATAGCTATTGCCTGAACCTATCCGAGCAATCATAAATATAAACATACTGCATTGCATCGTTGAGCAAATTGCTGAGTGGAAAGAGCACACGATATAGAAAAAAACCAGAAAAAGTAATCAAACTATTCGCGACTATTTCTTGAACATGTCCACGGTTTTGAAAGCTAAGCCAGTTCCAGCAGCTTCAACTCCAACCCCTACCCCAAACCCAACTCCCCCTTACACAAGCCATCAGCCATGTCCACATTGAAGCGCCTGACACTTGAAAACATCAATTTATTTTTATTTCTCCAGCTCGTCTCGCTGGAATCCTTTCGCTGGGGTGTTTTAGTGTCTGGAGTTTGTCATCGAAACCCCCTGCAACCCTTGCAGCCCCTGCACCTCCCCCCCACCATCAAATATAAAACTCAAACCCTAACCATTATAGCCCAAGCGAGGACCTTGCTTAGTCATTCAATTCAATTGATTCAATTGGGATTGTATCGGTTTTTTATGTGCATTTTGGCCAACACTGTCGCACATATCCTGTTGCCAGTTCTCCCACTCCTTGTTGCTCCTTTTATTGTTGTTGTTGGCAGCAGCTCCCGAGTGTCTCATTTATCTGCGGTTAGTGGAGGGATCTGGCGTTGTCGCCTCGTTTTGCACTTTATTGAAAAAGGAAAACGGTCTTGCGTGCTTGGGAGTCGAGAACCATTTGTAAAATTTAATAATATATAATTTTCGGATGGGCTTTTTTGGCAACGCTTTTATGTGCCGATAATGTTATTAGCCTAGGAATGCATGGTCTAGTTTTTTTTTTTTTTATATTTTTTGGCATTTGCCCAGCACCTTCTTAAATTCAAGGATGCTATCGATATCTGGCAATAGCCGAAACACTCAAATGCCATGACTTGTGCAATTTGCATCAGAAATTGTGTCACGACTAGTTTCGTTACACTTCATTGCGGCAGCTCCACCCATCTCCCATTCCACTGCCTCCACTGACTGTGGTTTTTGGCAGGATGTGGGGATTGTAGTTTTGTGTGCGAGACTTGCCAGGAATTTTGTTCGCTTAGGGGAGAAGCTGGGCGCTTGTTGCTTCTTTGCATGCTTTTACGTAGGTTAAAGTATTCGGCGACTTGGGACCAGGGACTAGAGTCCTTATGGCCCAGCGTGCTTTGGTCTTTGGGCAACATCCCAAGATATGTGAGAGCTGGCAATGGTTTGGGGAATTAGGACTGGGGCCAGTTGGGTGCGGCTATATTCAAAGAATTTTTTAGCTTGTATGTGAAATGTTAAACATAAAATGGGGCTGGGTTGCAAATACCTGGCCTCTTTATGCATATCTCTGAAAACTGAAACTCTGTCGCAACTATTTATTCGCTTTCTCTTTTGTCACACAATATTGTAAGAGTGCGTGCCATTTTCTGGGCTTAAGTTATCTATTTTAAATTATCTGCTTGTGTAAATATCTTATTTTTAGTTTCATATTGTATATTTGCGATATTTTACAAAATCTGATATACAGCTAACAGATTGTCCCATTTTATATATATGCAATTTACACCTCTTATAATTTGACCTCTTATAACTCATAACTGAAATATATATTTCGCCTGCTGCATTTAATCTGCCTTTCTTATTTCTTATGTTTTGTAGTCCGATATATTTCGAATCTGGTCGGGATTCGTCTTCTGGCAAAAATTCACAGCGTTCCTCTTGTCAGCTGTGCATTCATAATTTTAATATTTTAACCTTCACCTTTCATCTTGGCCTATTCTTTCTTGCTAACCTAGTGGCCAGAATCCACAACTAGCTGCTGAGCTTTTCAACTTTTATTGTTGCACAACTATTTGCTATCTCATCCAATAAGCAACACACTTTGAAATGCTGCCAAATTGTGTTTGTGTTCTTTTTATAAATTCCCAATTATATTACGGTGCGTATGCGCAATATTCGCCTTCGGTCCCAACACGCGTCTTTTAGTCGCATCTTCTAGATAAATTTCAGTCATTGAGCCAATTTTATTTAGTTTCAACTTGGTCCATTGTTGAGGAACTTGCATCAGCAAGTTTTTTGACGGCGAGTTCTTTCGATTTTGTTGGTGCTGGCTAAAATCCTGGACACAAAGTTTTGTACTTTCAGCTTCTTGCAGTGCACATTTTTGTGCATTAATATTTTTCATTCGCTTCAAGCGCTATTTTCTATTTTCTATTACATACATTCCAGTGCATCTTCGCATCGAGAAGTTTTTGCTTTCTCTGTGCTCTCTTGTAATGCAATTCCCAAAGAAATATTCAACTCAAGAATATCAAAATATGCAGCACTGGCATCTACCAGATAAACTCTGAATTTCTTTGTTCGGTGCTAGTCAGTCAGACCATTAGTTTCTCAGTGTGAGTCTTGTGAGCAAACGCGCACAAATAAAAAATGACAATTTGTTGTCGCCTTTGCAGTTTTTTTAATTTTAAGAAATTGGTGTTCGAATAATTTCAAAAAACACGAAAATATTTTTAGTTTTCATGGCGAATTTCTAAATTTCAAGTCGATTATTGTTCTGAGTGTGTATTGGTCACTTCCAGCTCTGGCTAATAGTATTCCACATCGCATTTGATAATTATGCTTTTAAAAAGTCTCTGATAAAGTGTCTTGTAAGGGAATCCATGCAAATAAATAGTATATTTAATATTTAAATTGTAATTTTCTTAATTTTTGTGGCTTATACTAATTAGGCGTCGGTTCATATATTTACTTATGATGCTCTCGAAGCAGGCCTTTTAATAAAATGTGCTTAATCAGCACATATGACTAAATTGTGGTAAGTGTGGCAACTGCATGCTGGTAGTGTGATCTTTCCCCATAAGATTTGTGTGGTGGCATGCCACATAAAATGCGGTTGCTGAAGTTGCAGCAACACACAGAGCAGACTATTGTTTTGCATGCAAAATGGCGTTGCTTGTTTTCCTTCTCACTTCCGTTTTGCAGCTGCGCGAAAAACGACATTTCAAATGCCGCACTAAATTACTACAAACACCCAACCGCAAACCCATAGCTTTGCCCCACCCGCAACATCTTTCCTTCCGCTCGCTTGCCTTGCTTTATTTACTTATACGCCGAAAACCCAAAAAAATATAAAAAAAAAATTTCATCTGCGACTACAATTTACGCTTTTGCTTGCATTTTTCATGTGAGTTGTTCTTGTTGTTCTTCATGTTGACAAAGTTTTTATGGCCGCAACATACAACAATGGCTTGTTGTTGTTGTAAGTGGTTGCCAGTGTGTGTGTGTGTGTGTGTGTGTGTGTGGTTCTGCATGTAATGTGCATCTGGTAGAAAAAGTTTGTGAATCATTAAGAGCAGCACTCGAATGCAAACACACCAACTTCGCAGCCAGTTAAAACTCAAGAAGTATGCACGAGTGCACATCAATGTTCCCACAATGTTTTCAAGACACATAGATGCATGGTTGTCAAAATGTATTAGTAGTTATTTACAACTCTGATTTCCCAAAATATTTCTTACAATTTACAAGTTTACAATGCTTTCACACATAACAAAATATGATTTCGAATAACAAGAGAGAAAGTTTATCTTTACTACGCCAATGATTAAATAGAACGGAGTCGAACTGCTGAAATTTAGATTTCATTCCGAAATGCGAAATAAAATTATGTTTTTTGTTTGTAATGCAGCTGAAGATTACATTTATAATATATGGCGTTATATATAGTATAGGGTATAATAGATACATGTCAATTTTTCCGAAGATTCCCAAAAAAATGAACACAATAATTCTACTTGTATCCAAGATTCAAAATATGCAATTCTCTCGAACTAGATTCTCAATGAACATGCACATGCAGGCATACCATGAACTACCATTTACCCAGTACCTTATCAATCTCCATATCTATATGTATTTCTACCTTTATCTCTATATCTTTCTGCGTGTATCTTTCTCTTTCACACTTGCTGTTCATCTGTCTTTCTCTTTGCATTTCTGTTTTGTGGCTTCAGGAGCTGACAGACACATATCTCTCTCAATCATCGTTCGGTGATTAGTGAATCCTTGTAAATCCGAATTCTGAAAGGCTTCTGAAAAACTCCAATATGTAAAACAGAAAAAAAGAGTCCTTTTTGCCATGGTGTCTATTAGTGCCTGCAGCGAAGCGGCAAAAGCCGACTTCTATTCCTATTGACTCCTTTGTAAGGGTGTGCTAGTGCTCTGAGCACAGCCACAAAGATTAACCGTCTCGCAGAGAGATATGACCTGGCCAACTAAAAGTGGAATCTACAATTAACCAAAACTATTGTGCGACTGCTGCATACCCTGTAGTGAACAAGGGATGGCAGATACTGTTATTACTAGTTGTCCACTTTAGAGAAAACACAGAACATTTTACTTTTCACAGATTTCAATTTGTATAATATGTAAAAAAATGATCCATATATATTATATGTTATTATTTTTGTTATTCATTCAGGTTATAATTGAGTTTTAGAAACTTGAAAGCTTATTAACTAAGGATTTGACATGCTTGGAGTATGTTTTGATATGTTTTACACAGTTTTCTGTTGCTGTTCGCTTAGTTTTAGTCCCACTGCACTTGGGTTAGCTGGCGAGGATCGACATTGAGGCCCATCTTCTCCAGCTTGCGCACTTTTCGCATCTGCTTGGTCAGATTGCGCTTGAAGGCGATCTCGCGATTGAGATTCATTATCTCTATGGTATCCAATTGTCGTATGTTCTTAATCGTTTGCAATATCAGATTATCGGTGAGATGCAGCTTGATTGTGGACATCTTCATGAACGGAGCGTCGCGACGACGCAGCTCCTCGCGATAGGCGAATAGAGTGTAGGGCAGGGAGGGAAGCTGCGGCAAAGGTCGCTCCAATCCCGGAAATAGTTGTTCGGCCATGGTTGGATTTATTTTCTCCTCTCTCTCTCTCACTCTCTCTCTCTCTCTCGGCAATAACACTATTAAGGAACAGATAGTTGTGTGTTGTGTTTGGTTCGTATGCTCAAATCACAATGCGTGTCCTGTTTGCAGTAGTTGTGATTTTTATAGTCAGCCACGGTATACCTGCCTGCAGCTGCCTCAAATCGATGCTTTTGGGAAATTTTCAACTGTTGCGTCGCCTCCTTTTCGGGGAAAGTTCAAGCAGCTGCTCGTTCAGCTACCTGCTGCTGTCAAAGTGAATTCTGGACAGCTGCAAGTGTCACGCGATAAGCCCGAGTGTATGGGGCTTGTCTTGAAAATTCTATTAGCCACGAGGCACGTCTGCGCATCCATTTGTAGTTCGAATTCGCAAGCAGCTATAAACCAACCGCATTGTCGCATCTCCTCCAAACGTCCAGCTGCTAAACATTTTATGAGGCCGTGACCTGCAAAACCCCTCCTCTAACGCACTAAAATATGGTTGATGTACATACATATATATATATATATATCATTCTATACCCTGTTTTCAATTTTCTTTTTGCAGCTAGCGTTTTATTTATTTTTTTTTGCATCTTATGACTTTTTTAAATGGTTTTCTTTTATGTTCTTTGAATTTGGCTGCAGCACTGTAATTTAATTGAATTGCGTTTACTCAAAGGACACTGCAGCGCAGTTTAGCAGTTTTGGCTCCAGGGACTGCATTACATTCACTTAATTATACAAATTAGCAGTGGACCCCCTGTTTATTATCCATTGGGGCTTTAAATGCGCTCATTTCTGTATCAAAATAAATGAAGTGCTTTTTAAATAATTCGATTGCAATTCAATTGAATTGCGCGTGAACAAACAGATGGATGAGTAAAGAGTGTTGCAGACTCTTAAAGTTAAAACTACTTGAATCGGTTACTGAATCTTGTGGTGCTTATTGAATTGATAAATTAGCGCAATGAAGTGTAGTTTAGGTAATAAACTTAAGAGGCTTTGACTGGCACAAAGAAGCAAATAAATATATGTATGCGCTGACTGTATTCACTTTGAAAATATTTTATATTTATGTGCCTATTGAACCAAACTCTGAATTTAAAATGTTTCAACAAATTGAACTAAGCCATTGAAATGGTAAGCATCTAAAATGTTGACATTTGTATTCTTGTAACAACTACTCAAATTGCAATGAAATTGTTTCTTTAATCTTAATCCTCATCGGAAAACAATACAGCTAAAGATTAACCTGATTGCTATCAGCATTATCGTGGAGAATTGAAGCTGTTAAGCAGCTTTGACTCTGTCTCAGTTCAGCTGATGAGTTCAATGTGTTAATCACAGCAGCATTTGTGGCATGCAAGCCGAAACGATTGCCAAACACATTATCTGTATTATTAATGAGCTGCATCCCGCACATGCCACACAGAGCAGACATACACATAATATTTCCTCCGGCAACTGCCTGATGCATGTTGACTGTGTTGTTATTGTTGATGGTTCATTGGTTTGGCATTTCAGTGTGTTTGTTGGTTATATGAACTGGTCAACAAGTTTGTATGTTGTCCATTCTCTTAACGGGGCATTGCGTTTTAATGATTGTGTCGTTTTTGGGTGTTTAATTAATTGAAAGCATTTTTGCCGCCATATTTTTGTGGCTGACACCGTCGATGTTTCTTTTGTTTCGCATTTACCATCATAATATTGACTTTCTGCCTGGCACACAGCCACAGAGCCTGTAATCGCAGCAAGGATGCACCAGGACCACCATTTGGAACACATTCAATAAATGCCGAGCAATAAATGAACCTGACTTCCATTTTCAGCCATTAATTAATTGCAGTGTGCATTCTGTGTATATTAATACGTATACATTTGCTGAAGTTTCAATATATATTTGCAGCAATTTAACTTATGATTAAATTTAAATACAGCAATCGTCCATATATTTAAATAACTTTTGGCGATTTTTTAATTGCTTGCCATTGAATTATATTTATTTAATTTATATGTATTATATGCACAGTTAAACTGAAAAGTATTTCACATAAAGTCCATTCAGCAAACAAACACTTAAAATTCGAATTTGGCAAATAATAGAATCAAAAGCATCTGTGCAAATTTTAATTCACAAACAGTGCACTTATCAAATATTTTATCAAATATATTTTTTGAACTCTTTAACTTTATTATACATTTATAAACTGCCTGAATTACAGTATATTACTTAACTTTCTAATAGCCCACTTTATTTATTAAAGATTGAAATTTACTAGAACACAAATAATATGAGAAATCACTATTATTGGCACAGCTGAATGTGTAGTCATTAGTACTCCTGTTTGTGTTATTAATTTGTATTAATATATGCATTTAAATGTATTACAGCTTATTTTAATAAAAACAAAATATTTTTCTTTTCATATTTATCTGTTATTGGCCTGCATTACATCAAACACTTTATGTTTTCTCAGCATTTTGCAGGAAGCTAGTAATAACATATTCAATAGCCGGCTTGTGCCTTTTACCAATATATTTGTCAGTTAGCCAAAGATAACAGGTAGGTGGCTAACTCAAGAGCAGGCAAGTGTGCGGAGCTTAGTCCAAAAATCCAGCTTGAGGTGGCTAAAATCCCATAATACCCGAGCATGCAAGTATCAAAGATCAAAAGCGTATTTGTCTATTTGCATACATATTGTGTATTACACATACATATAACCCAAAAGAACAACAACAGCAACAATAATAGTATGTAGTATGAAATATCTAGCAACAAACTCCTTTCGACAAAGAGCTGTTTATTTATTGGTATTCAACTGGCTCAAAACATTTGAATAAATATTTCAAACAGTTGCCTGCCTGCCTGGTCGACGGGCAGCTACCTGTGCAGCATATTGAATGAGTTTTTCGCAGAACTGTGCACATACACAGCCACACCCACACACACCCATCCACTCGACTCTGCGACCGCCCTCAATTGAATTACCTGGAAATTCACTGTTCTGTTCCTGTTCTGCGGCATGTGCAAAGTTGTCTCGAACTGCGAGTCCCTCAAAATCCAGTAGAGAACTGTGTATTCTGTAAAAGCGTGCCAGCCACCAAAGTAAACAATACTTTGTGTCGCTGTCGCTGTGTAGCGCAGTCGGCGCCTAACCCTACAACGAAAATGCAATTAGTGTTCCTATTTTGATAGATAGTACAGATAAATTTCAGATATTGCACTCTCTCTCTCTGTCTCCCTGTGTGTGTGTGTGGCTTGTAACGAAACCTAAAAACATAGAAAATTACGTAATATCGCTGTTACTGCTTGTACTTAAGATAATGTTTCTTATATTTTTATTAGAATTCAATAGTTGCGAACTAAACACAAAGTGACATATGAAGTGTGACTGAGTATTTCATATATTTAATATTTTATAAATGTTCGAAATCGCATTAAAAATTTTCAAAACATTTGTTAAAACTTTGATAACAAAACTTTTAAATCACATGGGAATACTGTTGCAAAGAGCTTTTGAAGCAGACTGGAGCAAGGAGCTTTGAAAGCGCACTAAAAATTTGTCAACATATTTGTTAAATATCTAAGAGTAAAGACTTCTATTCTATTCTATTTGATTCCATTTATTTCTCTGTTGTTTTACCATTGATTCAGTAATTAGGTCTGATAAGAGTAGTTCAAACAATTCACCAGTCACTTTAAAAGTTGAATTCCCTTATCAGGATTTCAATTAGCTAATGTTTATGACAATCAATAATTTGATTTTTCAATTAGGCAAAATACTCCAGTGACAAATGCAAATGATGCCTGCCTCAATGAGCGCTTATGCATAAATGCAACAGTGCAACAACAACTGAAAGCACATTAAAATCGAATGACATTCATGTTTGAATTTTATGTTGCATGTTGCAAGAGTAGTCTCTCGTAAAACAGGTAAATAAAGGCAAATATTTTCACATTTAATATAATCTCATTATAATTTATGATTATTACTATTATTATTATTTGTATTGGCACAGCACAATTGATATGATTGTTGTTGTTGTGGTGAGCCGTGAGGTGCACTTATTGTGGCAATGCACTGAATTCGATTCAAATATGAAATTGTATTTTGGGTTTCGATTAAAGCGGTCCACGGAGTTTATACATTTTTAGTCAGTTGGCTATCATATAAAAATGAAATCGAATTAACGAACTTTTTTATAATTCGAAAAGACAGAATATTGTATTATTTAACTCATCAAATATAATTGGAATTGTTCACATATGTAAAAGTTGTGCATGATTCAATTCGTGTTTCTGTGTGTGTCTGCATTCGGTGTGAATCATAATGAATAACACTCACACAGACACAGGTTCAAAAGTATGCAAATGAGTTTATTTCTTGGAATATATGTACATTTTTGAACAATTAATCAATATCAATAACCAAAGATATAAGCCCAATAAAATTTTACAACCGTTTGTAATCAAGTGGCCAACAAAATAAAACAAACGAAAGAGTTTTTACGCCGAAAGGATGAAACCAAAACCAAAATGCAAGCACTGCGCCTCAGTATGTGTGTGTGTGTGTAGGTGTGAGTATGTGTGTGTAAGTGTGAGTGTGTGATTGTATGAGTGTCCGCTTTTCCTGCCCGTGTGCGGTTATAAAGCAGCTCGTAAATTTCCGCACAGTTGGCAGACGCGGACCAGTTACCAGTTGCCAGTTGCCAGTTGCCAGCTACCCGTTGTCTTCGTCTTTTGGCCATGGCCAGATCGCCAGAGTTGCCGCGCGGCGCGGCTGTGTCGTTGTTACGCGGCTTGCCCGGCACATTGTCCTGTTTTTGTGTTCATTGCCAACCAGGAGCCGGCTTTATTTTCTCTTTTTTCTTTATTTCTTTTTGTTATTTTCCTTTTTTTTTTTTTTTGGTTTACTCTCACAGCTTAACAATGAAAACTCACGTTGTACATTTTTTTCACGGCTCTTGTTGCTATACTCTGACGTGATGTGTTCAACGCAGGTTGTGCAGCATGCAACGCATTTTAATTAAGAGTTGCACAAGTGTAGTGGCATATTCGTTGCGATTTTCTGGCGCATCTCTCCGTTTTTTATTTGGTGGGGCACAATTCTTCGTTTATTACGCGAATTCTTAGTGACGCCTCGGCCTCAACATATCCTGGCAATATCCCAGTGACTGTTACGAAACGCGAGCAGTTACAGTATGTGTGTGTGAGTGGGTGTTGAACAATAGCTATGAAATAATCACTTGCCTGCTTGCACTTTGCATTTTATTAAGTGATAGTGCAACGCGGCATGTTGATTCTGTGGTGCAGCTTGCAACGCTTGTGATTGTAAACTGTTACAAAACTGGAGGATTACCAGGGACTAATGCAGTTTTGCAATACAGAACAATTCGAATATATATTTTGAGAGTATATTTTATTTGTGTTGGAAATAACTGTATTTGCCTATGTACAGCGCAGCTTGTCTTGCATTCCCGTTTTGTAGTCTTAATCTGTTGTTGCCTGCGAGCAACGGTAATTGTAAGTTCCTTATGATCAAGACCTTCTTCGATGCTATGTTTAAGCTATTTTCATGATGTAAGAGTCAGTCGCTTTTGGTCGCTTGAATCGCGTGGTAAAATTCGCATGAAGCGGACATATATTCTGTATTAAATACAAAGCTCTGAATAAATACAAACCCCAAGTTATAATAATTTGCATATTAAATAAGAGTTGCTTGTATTTGTTTAATATAATTCAACGATTTGCAAAATTGGTAACATTGAACAGAATTTTATAACAGGTTTTATATTTGCTTATAAAAATATGTTTTTAATATAACATATACATATATATGTTTTGAGTCGAAACAAATAACTAAAAATGTATTTAAAATCAAATATTGTATTATTTTTAACACTTAATATTGTGTATATTGTTTTGCCATTAAGGACTGATATCATAATGTCCAACTGTTATTCATTTGTTCTGAAACTTTTCGGCAATATTCAATTGCTGGACAAATGTGACCACAGAAAATGCCAATTTTGCGACCTGTGCGAATGCACAAAAAACTTATTAAGTGATATGCAAGACTGGTTAATACCCTTACTTACGGTGATATTTGTGGCCATGGAAATGATGAATATGCCACCCGCAGTGAGAACAATGGGTTCCTGAATATTGTGCAAAAAGTAACGCAATGAGGTTATATAATATCGAGGGGCACCCTGCCAATTGGAGTGAAAGAGATTATTGGCGAGTTCGCCACAATCATCGCCGATCATATTGCATATGTAGCAGAAGGGGAATGTCTGTAGTAGAAGATCGAACAAGAATATCGCTGTGCCCAGGCCAGTCCAAAAATTCGAAAAGTACACTATATTGATTATGGATAGACCAATGACGATGCCACAAAGCAGAAACTGAGTGAAAATTGTGCCAGAGACCACAGGTCTGAGAGTGTTGCAGTAACTGGAAGAGGAAAGAGAATCAAACAGAATAATTTAACCAGAACATTGTGTAAACTTACTCGAGTATGAGCTGATGATCCTCAATGCACTTGGTAAGCTCCACATAGTTATTCTGTTCGCTCACCGTTGGATCTGAGCGCAGCCGTTGCAATCTCTCCTTGAGTAAATTTATGTGAGTGCGTAGGATCAAGAAGTATATGATTGGATAAACGTCAGCCATTTGGGTTTGAAGGACAACACCTGTCATCCACACGTATTCGAAAATAGCAGCTAGCCAAAAGTGTACATAACTCGCCTCCCAATCAATTAAAGGATTATACAACTTCCAGGGCAGGCGACCAGTACAAGCGCCAGCCAGAAATGTGGATGTCGTATACAAGGAGTATAGAATTTGATATGCCATATAGCACTGATTGCAATATGCCACAGTTTGGTGCAGTTGACTGCGCTGCTCGTCACTGGTGCAACGGTCATCCAAACGATCCAAAATCTTTTTGGCCTGCTTGAAACGCTTGACACCAGCAAAGGTGTAACTCGACTTGATGCTGGAGCCGAAGCAGTTGAATCCCACCTGCAGCGAGGTGAGAAACTGACCAGCGGTGAAGGTGCGAAAATCCTTGAAATAGCTAACCAGCAGTGATACATCCAGCAAGACAATCGCAAACGTTGTTAAGAACACCGTCCACACGCCATAGATCCAGCGTTGGTATTTACCCTCCGGTGGAATCCAACCACAAATCGTCATGCCGCGATCCAAATAGACAAATGCATCGCGAGATTTCACTACCTCCTTTAGGGGCCACAATCCCAGTCGAGGAAACAGCTTGTAAATCATGTCCTGCAATGTCGGATATGAATTAGTCAATGATTTTACTGTTGGAGCAAACACAGCGCTTTTATACACTTCTCTGACTTGTTCCTGTTAAAACCTTAATTATGTATTACAAGTTGTCGCAATGGTTTCGTGGCGTCAATTATTTAGCTTGGAAAGGCTGTGGAATTAAATATGTAAAGTTTTCTTCATTAGAATAGGAATTTCATTAAGTTTTTCAATTAATTTTGAATGCGTTTCACTAAGTTTTTTACTTCGCCGTAATTTATTATAAAAGATACAAAAGTACTCAACAATAGAACATAAACTTTTTAAGAATTTCTCAAGCGGTTTATTTATTTTTTATGGTTAACTTGTGTTCTCCAGTTTTTATTGATATGGCGTAAAATTTGTAGTTCCCATACGCTTTTTTTTGTTAGTTTCCTCTTATTGAAAGCATCTGTGAGTTATTTTTATAGTGCCACTTGATGTTTGTCTCTGTGTGTGTGGCTCGAGCTTAATCAATAAAAACGCAACGCGTTTTGAACATCTTTGTATACTCTAACAAAGCATTGATTTTAACAGAGAAATAGTCGGGTAACTAGTTAGTCCGAGAAGTAATTTCCGTTTAATGTTTGATAACTTATATGTGCTTTAAAAATTTCACATTTAATTCATTCCAAATTTATTTTCAACTTGTATCATTCTATTAAGTGGAAACCAACTTCGACTTTATCGTAGAAAGTTGCAAGTCCCTTGCAGTTGTTGCTCATAATTTATTGCTTGTTAGCAATCAAATAATTCAAGTGGTGCAATCTAGAAAAATTACGCGCTCTCTATGCAGCCATCTATTTTAGTTGTTTAATTAAAGAGCACAGCTAACAGCAAACTAAAAGGGGGACAAAAAGGTCGAGAGCCGTTGCCACACCAGCAAAAAGCAGACACAAACACTAATAAATCAAGCAAACTAGAAGCTGTCTCTCCCTGTTCGCAGCCAGCACATTGGGCAAGGACATAGCATTGGACACTCAGCTCAACAGTTGCCAACTGTTTCCCAAAATTTGTAAATGACATTGCTGAAATGCTAGTGTAGATGAGGCTTTTAGTCAAGTTTTAGGAAGCCACACTCTAAAATGAAAATCGTACCAAAAATTAAACATCGCCCTGAAAACTAAACTAGAAAACTAGCTTTTTTTGAAAAATGATTTCTAGATAGACGAAAAAAAATTCATAAAATTAGAAAGGTTGTTTTATATTTATCGCAAATATATTTAGTAATGTCAAACTATTAAATATTATATAAATTATATCTAAACAGTGGAAACCAAAACTGAAAACATAATAAAATTATCTTTCCCTCTGTCAACATGAACGAAAGGTGATCGCGTTCTATAATTCAGTGCGGTTTGTTCTGAGTGTACCACGTTGAGCTGTTTCATTAAATCTGCAACTTAAATGAAGCAAAAAGCATAGATGGCTTCCTCCAGCGCATCAGCTCTGATGACCATATTGCACCCGGCGAGACTTTCATGTAAACATTTTGCAGCGACTTCAAATCAGCGATACGATTTTTTCCGTTGCATACTTTCAGGCATATTTGATTGGCGCATTCGCTGCCTGACAGTATAAAAGAGCTGATGGGATCGAAAAATATATTTAATCAAAGATTCTTATGTGGTTTCTGATGCGTTCGTTTTTGTTCGATTAACCTGAGTCTTACTTAATTTGTGATATATTTTAAGAGGTCATAAAAGAGTTAGTTTTAGTTTTGAGTACATTTTTCTATGAAAGGTAATACAAATGCATTGTAAATCAGATGCAATATAATAAAACTTGTGGAGAGAGTATTATAGTAGATTCTTTCTGATTTAAAATGTATTCTAGTATTAAATAATGTATTGTACTGCGAAGCTCTAAAAACTTCTTAGCTCAAAAATCTGTCAAACTTTTCTTGGTACGCAATGTTGGGGACATTGCTAACAAAGTATTACCAAAAAGGTTTGCCCTCGACAACACAATGCAACTAGCAAGCGAATAGATGTTTCGCATAAACCTCTCCCTCCCATCCCCCATCACCCATCCCTCATCGCCCTCTGTGTTCCTTGTCCCTTGTCCCTTGTCCCTTGTCGTGTATGTAGAGCAAAGTTTTGCAGCATTTATCTTCGTTATTATGACGCCCGAATGGGCTATCAGCGCCAAGTGGAGAAGCTGTTAAATATTTGGAGAGCCAGCGACAGTTGCAAATAGAATGCGATCTAGCTTCTAATGCAGGCACGTAGCAATAGCTTCAGGCAAAACAAACCAAGTTCTCTCCTCAAGATCTAATACTCCTCTGTGCGTAGTCTCTAAAAATTACACAACTTGTCTTACAAGCGAGGCAGCGGCAAAGGAAGCGAAAGGACTGCGTTGCAATTTTGGCTGGAAGAGAAGACAAAAGCAGCTCAAAACTTGCAACCACTCCCGGCGCCCAACTCTAGCTGCTGGATCAGAGACTGGCTGGTTGTTGGCGGAAAGGAAATTGTAAATTTTTTCCTGCACTTAATTAGTTTGAGCGTAAGTGGAGCAGAAAAAGTTGTGCGCCATGTTCCAGAATTTCAGCGAGCTGCACAAGACGACGAGGGGGCAGGACAGAGGATGAGCTCAGATAGCGGCAGAGGGGACGGAGAGAGAGAGGGAGTCAAGGAGGCGTTGTGTCATCAGTCTCTGTGTGTCCCTCGTGTGTATGTGTGTGTGTGCGTGTATGTTGCCAAGGAAATTGCCTCATAAATGTTCATTACACAGTTCTGTGCAACTGTCGAATGAATGTCGGTCGAGCGTAGCCGACTTGGTGGGCGTGGCTGGTTGTGCAGCTCCATCTACTGTTGGAATTCAAGCCAACCTCATTGCCACAAATAATTTTTCACTGATTTATTAACGCAATTCAAATGACACAATAGATTTGCTGTCGTCAAGGCTAATATCATAATTTAATGGAAATTTATGCGATTCACATATAATGGCCTGTTCATGACACTCATTGAAATTGCATTGTAATTGATCGCAATTTTAAAATGGTTACACAATTATTTTGAGCTGTCAAATATATATATGTATGTATTTGGTCTGGTTTTGAAGTGGCATTTTATTAAAATTGCTGCAGGAAATGGCAAGAAAGTCCGCTTGTAAATATAATTCAGCTTACATTAATTGAATTTATTAAATATCATCTGAGAATGCAATTTTATTATGGCAATTAATTAACGAGCTATAACTTGACAAATAAAAATGTAATTAAACTTTAAGTGGAGAATATTTATTTATTCTGTTAATAATCATTTATTCATTTAATTAGTGTGAATAAAGCCAAGCAATCAACAATTATTAAACCTTATTAGAGATAAAAAAGAACCGATTTTGAATCTCTGACAAAAAATAACAGTATTAAAAATGTGAATGATTCCAAATATGACAAAAAATACAATTTTAATTAACATTGCTACTTAATTGGATTTGACATGAACAAACAGAGTTGTAGATAGAAATATTTCAGTATTTAAAATCACAACCAATCACCATTGAAAGCTTATATTGGCGAACAAAGTCCGACCAAATGAATACCAGCAATAATAACCGAACCTGCAGCTGTGCTATTGTGGCAACCATTTAGGGGCACATTCTTGTTGCCACAAGGCGACAAACAGATGAAGTGGAAGCGCTGTTGTAAGCAGCTTTTGCCACACAATGTTGAAGCATTTTGTATCATTTTGTGTACTTTAGTGCAACTTCGCATGACCCCAGCGTGTTAATTATACACCTGCAGCTATAGCTATCACAGCAACAGTAATGTTCTAAGTACACAAACACTGCTGCACAGTGACTGCCGACAGTTATCCGACACACTTGTAATCGCACATTCCACATTAAGTTGAATCGCGACCGGGTGCTCTTGCCATCATTTGTAGCAATAAGCGAACAATAAAACATTAGCGCCAGCTGATAAAGCAACCCCATATACTTGACACCCGTGTCTTTTACTCCAACCTCCCTTCTCCCCTCACTTACGCCCCTCTCCTCTGCCACTTGTATGTGTCAGCGGGCTGCTTAGCGCCCCTAATGCGATTATTCAGTGCCACATATGTAAAAGTTGTGCATGATTCAATTCGTGTTTCTGTGTGTGTCTGCATTCGGTGTGAATCATAATGAATAACACTCACACAGACACAGCTTCAAAAGTATGCAAATGAGTTTATTTCTTGGAATATATGTACATTTTTGAACAATTAATCAATATCAATAACCAAAGATATAAGCCCAATAAAATTTTACAACCGTTTGTAATCAAGTGGCCAACAAAATAAAACAAACGAAACAGTTTTTACGCCGAAAGGATGAAAGCAAAACCAAAATGCAAGCACTGCGCCTCAGTATGTGTGTGTGTGTAGGGGTGAGTGTGTAAGTGTGTGTAGGTGTGAGTATGTGTGTGCAAGTGTGAGTGTGTGATTATATGAGTGTGCGCTTTTCCTGCCCGTGTGCGGTTATAAAGCAGCTCGTAAATTTCCGCACAGTTGGCAGACGCGGACCAGTTACCAGTTGCCAGTTGCCAGCTACCCGTTGTCTTCGTCTTTTGGCCATGGCCAGATCGCCAGAGTTGCCGCGCGGCGCGGCTGTGTCGTTGTTACGCGGCTTGCCCGGCACATTGTCCTGTTTTTGTGTTCATTGCCAACCAGGAGCCGGCTTTATTTTCTCTTTTTCTTTATTTCTTTTTTGTTATTTTCCTTTTTTTTTTTTTTTGGTTTACTCTCACAGCTTAACAATGAAAACTCACGCTGTACATTTTTTTCACGGCTCTTGTTGCTATACTCTGACGTGATGTGTTCAACGCAGGTTGTGCAGCATGCAACGCATTTTAATTTAGAGTTGCACAAGTGTAGTGGCATATTCGTTGCGATTTTCTGGCGCATCTCTCCCTTTTTTATTTGGTGTGGCACAATTCTTCGTTTATTACGCAAATTCTTAGTGACGCCTCGGACTCAACATATCCTGGCAATATCCCAGTAACTGTTACGAAACGCGAGCAGTTACAGTATGTGTGCGTAAAGGGTGTTGAACAATAGCTATGAAATAATCACTTGCCTGCTTGCACTTTGGATTTTATTAAGTGATAGTGCAGCGCGGCATGTTCATTCTGTGGTGCAGCTTGCAACGCTTGTGATTGTAAGCTGTTATAAAACTGGAGGATTACCAAGCCAGAGACTAATGCAGTTTTGCAATACAGAACAGTTCGAATTAATATATTTTGAGAGTATATTTTATTTGTGTTGGAAATAACTGTATTTGCCTATGTACAGCGCAGCTTGTCTTGCATTCCCGTTTTGTAGTCTTAATCTGTTGTTGCCTGCGAGCAACGGTAATTGTAAGTTCCTTATGATCAAGACCTTCTTCGATGCTATGTTTAAGCTATTTTCATGACGTAAGAGTCAGTCGCATTTGGTCGCTTGAATCGCGTGGTATAATTCGCATGAAGCGGACGTATATTCTGTATTAAATACAAAGCTCTGAATAAAAATAAACCCCAAGTTATAATAATTTGCATATTAAATAAGAGTTGCTTGTATTTTTTTAATATAATTCAACGATTTGCAAAATTGGTAACATTGAACAGAATTTTATAACAGGTTTTATATTTGCTTATAAAAATATGTTTTAAATATAACATATGAATATGTTTTGAGTCGAAACAAATAACTAAAAATGTATTTAAAATCAAATATTGTATTATTTTTAACACTTAATATTGAGTATATTGTATCGCCATTAAGGACTGATATCATAATGTCCAACTGTGATTCATTTGGTCTGAAACTTTTCGGCAATATTCAATTGCTCAACAAATGTGACCACAGAAAATGCCAATTTTGCGACCTGTGCGAATGCACAAAAAACTTATTAAGTGATATGCAAGACTGGTAAATACCCTTACTTACGGTGATATTTGTGGCCATGGAAATGATGAATATGCCACCCGCAGTGAGAACAATGGGTTCCTGCAAATTATGCAAAAAGTAACGCAATGTGGCTGTATAATATCGAGGGGCACCCTGCCAATTGGAGTGAAAGAGATTATTGGCGAGTTCGCCACAATCATCGCCGATCATATTGCATATGTAGCAGAAGGGGAATGTCTGTAGTAGAAGATCGAACAAGAATATCGCTGTGCCCAGGCCAGTCCAAAAATTCGAAAAGTACACTATATTGATCATGGCTAGACCAATGACGACGCCACAAAGCAGAAATTGTACGAAAATTGTGCCAGAGACCACAGGTCTGAGAGTGTTGCAGTAACTGGAAGAGGAAAGAGAATCAAACAGAATAATTTAACCAGAACATTGTGTAAACTTACTCGAGTATCAGCTGATGATCCTCAATGCACTTGGTAAGCTCCACATAGTTATTCTGTTCGCTCACCGTTGGATCTGAGCGCAGCCGTTCCAATCTCTCCTTGAGTAAATTGATATGAGTGCGTATCATCAAGAAGTGTACGATGGGATAAACATCAGACATTTGGTTTTGAAGGACAACACCTGTCATCCACACGTATTCGAAAATAGCAGCTAGCCAAAAGTGTACGTAACTCGCCTCCCAATCAATTAAAGGATTATACAACTTCCAGGGCAGGCGACCAGTACAAGTGCCAGCCAGAAATGTGGATGCCGTATACGAGGAGTATAGAATTTGGTATGCCATATAACATTGATTGCAAGATGCCACAGTTTGTTGCAGTTGACTGCGCTGCTCGTCACTGGTGCAACGGTCGTCCAAACGATCCAGAATCTTTTTGGCCTGCTTGAAACGCTTGACACCAGCAAAGGTGTAACCCGACTTGATGCTGGAGCCGAAGCAGTCGAAGCCCACCTGCAGCGAGGTGAGAAACTGGCCAGCGGTGAAGGTGTGAAATTCCTTGAAATAGCTAACCAGCAGTGATACATCCAGCAAGACAATCGCAAACGTATTGAAAATCACCGTCCACACGCCATAGATCCAGCGTTGGTATTTACCCTCCGGTGGCATCCAACCACAAATCGTCATGCCGCGATCCAAATAGACAAATGCATCGCGAGATTTCACTACCTCCTTTAGGGGCCACAATCCCAGTCGAGGAAACAGCTTGTAAATCATGTCCTGCAATGTGGGATATGAATTAGTCAATGATTTTACTGTTGGAGCAAACACAGCGCTTTTATACACTTCTCTGACTTTTTCCTGTTAAAACCTTAATTATGCACTGCAAGTTGTCGCAATGGTTTCGTGGCGTCAATTATTTAGCTTGGAAAGTCTGTGGAATTAAATATGTGGCTTGTAAAGTTTTCTGCATTAGAATGGGAATTTTATAAAGTTTTTTAATTAATTTTGAATGCGTTTCACTAAGTTTTTTACTTTGCCGTAATTTATTATTAAAGATACAAAAGTACTCAACAATAGAACATAAACTTTTTAAGAATTTCTCAAGCGGTTTATTTATTTTTTATGGTTAACTTGTGTTCTCCAGTTTTTATTGATATGGCGTAAAATTTGTAGTTCTCGTTCACGCTCTCTCTCTCTCTCTCTCTCTCTCTCTCTATCTCTCTCTCTCTCTCTCTCTCTCTCTCTCTCTCTGTCTGTTTGTAGCTGTTTGCTTTCAATGTCCAAGTTTAATAGTTTTCCTTGTCTTTGGCCATTTTCGTTTAAAATATTTTTTGTCACGTTTCTAATTGATGGTAGCAGCGAAATAAATGAAGCTTGAAACCACTTTCAAGTGTGTCTTTTGTGCTCTAATAAGGTCGTCATTCAATGCACCGTAAAGAAAAGCGAAAAATGTCAGTCAGCTGTTGGCCGGCCTGCAAGTCGTTTGACTGAGTTATTTGTGATATTTCAAATACGCCACGTATGAAATATTTTCTGAGTTGGAGCCAAAAAGGCTGCGACTACTTCAGCTTTCACAAGGATATCGTCGCCAGTTTGCTTCCTGCTCAGCTGCCTCAGACATGTGTGTTTCTGTGTGTCCTATTATGTATCCCAGACGCTTTTTTTTTCTTAGTTTCCTCTTATTGAAAGCATCTGTGAGTTATTTTTATAGAGCCACTTGATGTTTGTCTCTGTGTGTGTGGCTCGAGCTTAATCCTTGACAAAATGAGAAAAATGGCAGCGTTGCACAAAATGCACTGTCAATTTGAGAGACGGTTTATTTATATATATTAATATATATATATACATATATATACCGACAATAAAATCGCAACGCGTTTTGAACATCTTTGTATACTCTAACAAAGCATTGATTTTAACAGAGAAATATAAATAGTCGGGTAACTAGTTAGTCCGAGAAGTAATTTCCGTTTAATTTTTGATAACTTATATGTGCTTTAAAAATTTCAACACAATTAATTCATTTCAACTTTTATTATTATATTATATATCTATTGAGAGGAAACAAACTTCGACATTATCGTGTGAAATTTATGCGATTCACATATAATGGCCTGTTCATGACACTCATTGAAATTGCATTGTAATTGATCGCAATTTTAAAATGGTTACACAATTAGTTTGAGCTGTCCAAAATATATATGTATTTGGTCTGGTTTTGAAGTGGCATTTTATTAAAATTGCTGCAGGAAATGGCAAGAAAGTCCGCTTGTAAATATAATTCAGCTTACATTAATTGAATTTATTAAATATCATTTGAGAATGCAATTTTATTATGGCAATTAATTAACGAGCTATAACTTGACAAATAAAAATGTAATTAAACTTTAAGTGGAGAATATTTATTTATTCTGTTAATATTCATTTAATTAGTGTGAATAAAGCCAAGCAATCAACAATTATTAAACCTTATTAGAGATAAAAAAGAACCGATTTTGAATCTCTGACAAAAAATAACAGTATTAAAAATGTGATTGATTCCAAATATGGCAAAAAATACAATTTTAATTAACATTGCTACTTAATTGAATTTGACATGAACAAACACAGTTGTTGATAGAAATATTTCAGTATTTAAAATCACAACCAATCACCATTGAAAGCTTATATTGGCGAACAAAGTCCGACCAAATGAATACCAGCAATAATAACCGAACCTGCAGCTGTGCTATTGTGGCAACCATTTAGGGGCACATTCTTGTTGCCACAAGGCGACAAACAGATGAAGTGGAAGCGCTGTTGTAAGCAGCTTTTGCCACACAATGTTGAAGCATTTTGTATCATTTTGTGTACTTTAGTGCAACTTCGCATGACCCCAGCGTGTTAATTATACACCTGCAGCTATAGCTATCACAGCAACAGTAATGTTCAAAGTACACAAACACTGCTGCACAGTGACTGCCGACAGTTATCCGACACACTTGTAATCGCACATTCCACATTAAGTTGAATCGCGACCGGGTGCTCTTGCCATCATTTGTAGCAATAAGCGAACAATAAAACATTAGCGCCAGCTGATAAAGCAACCCCATATACTTAACACCCGTGTCTTTTACTCCAACCTCCCTTCTCCCCTCACTTACGCCCCTCTCCTCTGCCAGTTGTATGTGTCAGCGGGCTGCTTAGCGCCCCTAATGCGATTATTAAGTGCCAAGTGCGATGGCAGCGTATAAAATTCATTATATTAGCCCCGTTGTTATGCGGAGAGTTCATTGGCATCCCTTCCATTGCTACGCTCAGCCCAAGAGCACCCTTGACCTGCCTCCCGCCCCTCACATGCGTCACTCGTTCATGCACTGCGGGTACTCAATATCCTGCCACAGCTTTGCCACCGGCTCTGCAGCTCCTCCGTCGCCAGCTGCAAAAGCGAGAATCGCTCGTCGACTGTGTCGCAATAAATTAAGAGCACAAATAAATCATCCATTTTAATGTGACAGTTCCGACAAACGCGCAGCGAACGCATCGCTTCAGGCTTCAGACTCCCCAAAATCGACTCCACAATCGACGACAACAGGACATTGTTTTGAATGCGTCTTTATTGGGCACGCCCTACCAACTCATCCAGCCACCTCCCACTCGTCCCTCTCTCTTGAACGTCTCGTGTTTGTTGGCCATATTTAGCGGGTCCATTCTTATGGCTCGGTCTCATTGTTTGCACATTCTGCGGAATGACGCTTCCGTGGATTCCGCTCCTGGTCCTGGTCCTGGTCCAGGTCCTTCTGTACCTTCCCTCTCCCTCTATACGACAGAGCATTTTGTTTGCGCTAAGTACTTGCCCTAACTGCGGCACTTAATATTTTCGATTTGGGGAGTGTGTTTTCTTTGTTGGAGGGGTTGTTGGTGGACAGCTTTCTGCTTTGCCGAGTTTCCGTTGCGGATGTGCCGCCATTGCACAGTGAGAAAAGAAGTGTGTGTGTGTGTGTGTATGTGTATGTGTGGAGTATTTGTAAAATGACTTTTTTTTTAGCTGTTCAACTGTGCGTATGATTAATGCTGCGGATTGAGGTCTATAGCTTCGTATAAAGGTCATCGATTGCTATCAAAGTAATTGGAAATGAATTTCCTGCCAGTCGCCACTTTAAATATTGATAGTGGCAAATTGCATTTTAAGTTCATTCATTATTTTAAAAGCTGGTGTATTAAAGCTGTTAAAATATAATTACGGCTTAAATAGTGAAAATGGATGATAACACTTTTGTCGTTTCATAAAAACTCTTCGCATAAGCTGTGATTAAAGTATATAATAATTGTTTGCCAGCAATATATTTTTGTTTACTTAATTTTGAGCAGAATTTGCAGCAATGATAATTTTATCTATGACTATAGTTTAATTTGATCACTTAATGACTTGCAAATAACTTTTGGAGCATTTCATTGCATTGCTTCAAAATTAGTTTAAAAATCGAATTCTAAAACAATATTAATAAAATATAGCTCGACTTCCACGTTCATTTATTGTTCATATTAAAAACCTTAGCTTGCAAAACTTAAGTTTATTTCAATGAACTTTTCTGCATTTCTGCCATAAATGAAGAATGCAATCATTTTAATTAGACTGCCTTTGCCGTTAACAAAAAAAAAAGAAAATGCAAAAACTCCTTTCTCCCAGTTGTCGCATAAAAAATGAAGTAACCAAGCTTTGATTGCAGGTTGCCTTTTGTCAGGTTTCTGACAGGTTCCTCGTTTCTTGTTTCAATTGCATTGGGTGCAAGAAGCAGGCAAAGAGACTGGCAACGTCAAGTTAGCTGTCTTGTCCTTTTCTGTCCAGGATGTGTCTGGGTGCGAGTTGAGAGTGCCGGGCACATCTTCATCGGTTGACACCTCATATCCTTTGAACAGTTTTCAATTGAACTGCCTTTGCGCCTTGCTCTCTAACAATTTCTCAATCTCTTTCCATCTTTCTCCCAGGTGCCATTAGAAATATTGGGCGTCCAACGATTTCGAATTCTTTATTAGAAAAATCTTTTTGTTGCATGCGATGCGCTATCAAGTGGAAAATGGGGGCAAAGGGCAAGAAAGAAAAGGCAATGGCAACAAAAAAAAACCTTTACTAATGCCCATGGCAGGTAAGGCATTGATTGTGAAACACAGATAGACTTTGTAAACAGATAAAATGTTGCACAGATACAATAAGCACGATACACACACGGAGTGAGGATAAAAGAGACACTATGCTAGTGTATTGGCTTAGCAATTCAATTGACTTGAGCACTTTTCAAATTTGATTGAGTGAATAGCTCTACAATGCAGCAAATAGCAATTTCAGACATTTTAAATCAAATATCAAATATAGCCAACTCAACTAAGTCGCGTAACTTTCATTGGCCCTTTTGCACTTACTAAAGATGAAGTATTCATGAGACTTGGTTTTGTGCCACGTTTTCTACAGTTATTTAACTATTTCTTTGGAGAATTTCAAAATGAAAAACATCAAAAATTGGCAAAAGAAATCGATTTTTAAGTTCAGTGATTTATTGATTCGTTTTAATTAAATGCTAGCTTTATCTTTGGTTATTAAACTGTTATTTTTTTACGGAATTCAAAAAGGTATATATTGGAAAATATGCAAAACAGCGCATTTTGAAATTGTATGAAATAATTCGCAGTCTAGTTAATATCAACGCTTGAATTAACTTTATCGGTAACCATTTCATGATGTCAATAATTAAAAAAATTTAAATGGAACGACTGGAAAAAAATGTCATTTAATATTATACTTAACGCGCTGGCTGTTGTGTCATTTGACGATAATGCTGGCCCAAATCGTATATGTATATGTATCAAAACTCATTACACCCATTCAAAGTTTACTAACTTGGTTTTAGCTATTCACAACTAAGGGCGTGTTAAATTTATCTTTCGCTTAATTGC